CTGGATAATGAAATAGCAAGACTGCCTATTAAATTTGCAGGAGATATAAGGCTGGGAGGGATTACAAGTACGCTGGAGACAGAACTAGAATCCAGACAGATCTTGATGAACTGGGAAATTGTTTTGGAAAAAGATAAAATTTAACTTGGATAAGAGCAGAAAAATGGGTACTCTGAATAACCAACTACAAAATTACTGGGTAGAGAGCAATTGGGTGGACTCTTCAGAAGAGGATTTTGAGATTTTAGGGCATCCCAAGATGAAAATTAGCTACCTTTATCATCCTGTTGTGAAAAGCCAAATGCCATACCCTGGGACTGTTGAATACAGGTTTGGAAATTGTATTTGAGAAGGCTATGGACCACCATTAGAGAGTCTGAAGGATAACAGCAGATATTATTAAAGAAACTGTTAGATGAGATGTGATTTCTAGACATTGTTGAAAGCATTGAGGTTATTAAGTTGTAAAAAGATAAGGGTACTGGTAAGGAAATGAATGATAAAACTCACAGATTAAAGATTGGTGTAAAGACGAAGGTAACAATCTATTCTCCATGTTCCTAATAGAGGGGGAAATAATCTATAGGTTTAAATTACAGCAGAAAACTGAAGCTAGATTTCAAGACTTCTAGTAGTAAGATTAGCAAAACAATGGAGTAGGTCTTTCAGTCTAGGGAGTAGCAAAATCTCCGTTCATTGTAAGTCTTCAAAATCACGTTGGACAATTGTGCAGATACAGTTGAACCTGGTTTAAAGAAGAAGAATAGACTTGAGTGAGCTCCTAGGGTCCTTTCATCCCTGTTATGATGCTGTGGCCATATTCTATACACAAATTCATAGTGAAAACACACATGCCACTCTAGGTAGTGTGTATATATATGTATGTATGTATTTTTAATTTTTAAGATGAGGCATCTGATATACAGGTAGCCAAGTTGTAAATGCTCTTACTTCACAACACATACCACGAATCTGGAATGTTTCTTTCTTTTCACTCTTGTTCTTAAAGTCTCCATGTAGCTTTCCCAAGTTTCCTGCAACTTGCAGATAAAGATCTTCAGTGCACCTATCTTACGTTAGAAGTTTGTAGATGTAGTTGAAGGCAAGGTTTGGGCTTGCTTTTGACTGAATAATGTTCCAGTCCACAGTGAATGTTACCTGTTAGCTTACTTCCCTGTCTGTGAAACTCCCTGATTACTTGGAAAACTGTTACAAACATATTTTTCTTCTAAAGTGCCCTTTCAAAGTTTTCTTAGGCTAGGTTAAAAAACACAACAAACGAAGAAAGCAAAAATACAGCCAGAGGGTTCAGAGTTTATTCTCATTACCTATCTGATTGCTTTATAAAGGAATTAGAAGCACCAGGAAATGGCATACTGCTTCAAAGCACACAGAGCAATGTACACCAGTAGAGCTGAAGCTGCATCAGGGTAAAATGATGATCCCTGAAGTGGCTGTTCTTCAGCATCTTTTGCTGTCTCCTGTTTGGGAAGTAGATTGACTGCACCCTCATAAAGGACTTTGATTTTGTTTTATTCTTCACCGCCCTTGCTGGCTTTTTAGAGACTTGGCCATGTCAAGCTTCTTAGACAGTGAGCTAAAGACAGAAGAAAACATTAACCTATTATCTGTAAGCTGAATACGAAACCCCAACCCAAGCCAAAACAAAAACCCAGATAGATAGAAGAAAAAGAATCCCTTGAGCAAGCATATCACTGCTTTTGGTAGAGAACAGCAGTATATGTTTCATACCGGCACATGCGAAGACCAACATGTGACAAGGTGACATTCCTTTGTAATATTTCTTATTTCAATTGTTTAATCTTCTCTTTGCTGACAAAGGTCCCTTTTTTATTCTTGTGTAAGGAAAGTCTCTGACATGTTAGCCTAATTGAAATGACAGGCAAAAGTTAAAAGTAAAATCAATTCTTTGTCACTGGAACTTCCCCAAGTGTTTAAAAGCTAGTATTGGCTGAGGAAAAGAAAGATGTATGTTAATCAGTTAGAAACCAAAATCTTTTGCTATAGCAGTTTGTTTTAAGAAATTGAAGTTTTAATTTATTAATATTAAAGATATGTTTATCAATTAACAGATTAATTCCATGAATAATTGAATTTATATTTGTAATAGCTACTGCTGCAAAAGTGTGAATGATGCTGGTTCTTTGTGAGTGAAAGAAAGGAATTGAAGACAAGGCATTTTAAAGGCATTAGAGAAACTGATTTTATGATTATGCCATCTTTGGAGTTCCAGGGAGAGAGAGCACTTCTGTTTTGACACAATATTGCCTGCTCTTCTAGCTGACCATATTGCAACCAGAGGAATTTGGAAGGTTGGCGTTTTTTTTTCAGTTTTGTCTTTAACTTTGGTCATCAGATCAGGAGCACTCAGTGCTAGCACTGTAGTTTCAAGGTTGAGGTTTTCCTTTTCTGCTTAGCTGCTGACCTTATCTCAAACATAAAATCTCAAACCAGATTTCTCTGAGCTGTATTTAGCAATTGCATGCAGGGTGAATGTCTGCCCAACTGTCCGAGTCTGCCACAGCAGAGGGGAGCAGAGCAATAAGGCATTTCAAGCAGATCTGCAGTATTAGGAGTGGCTTCCAAAGGCAGCCATATGTCCCTTTCATAAAACATGGGCACCAGAGAAAAAACAGTGAGGATACCAGCGAGGACTGATGCTTGCTGGAATGAAAGTTTAGCAATGGGGAGATCTGTAATGTTTAGCTTTTTCTAAATGCTGTATCCATGTCCTGTATTAATAGGTGGTTTAGAAGCAACTTATGCTAGATAGATGCATTAATGAGTGGAGCCTAAGTGCCAGAGACAGCCTAGACTGTTTGACTTTTAAATTAACCCTAGGAAATGCTGCCTCATGAATATTAAAATTCAGCCTCCTGCACCATGATCAATACATTAATTTTTATGTATGACCTCACAAAGATCCAGCCTGTCAAGCTACGGGCATTTGTTCAATATTCCTGTGTAAATGTCAAGACAGATGGCTCTCAAAACCTGCTGTAATATTTCACATAATAATAGAAGTGTCTGCCTGCACTGACCTCTTCATATCAGAAGTGGAAACCCAAGCAACCACTTGCTAAATGAGACAAACTGACTTGGCATTTTGACAGGAGCAATGAGATTGGCTAGAAAGTATGGCAAGGTCCCTATCTGGCCTTGTGTTGAGCCTAGATAGCTGTTAGCTGTAAGCAATCAGTGCCTCCAGAAGAGAGTGTCCACAGAGGAAACAGAATGTATGCTGTAGAAGCAAATAGAAGCACACATTTGTATAAAAGCCAGGGAGATAATTACTTTAGTTAACAAGAACATTAACTTCAGATGCCTTCAGCACAGTCAACTGTACCTGGACTAATTATATGGACACTTCTATAGTTGGTGGGGAAACACAGGTATGTCGAGGCCATGATTCATCCCACTGCAATGTATGTGTCTCAAAAAGGCCAGAAGAACCTTGCCTTAGAAGTTACCTTGCATGGTCTCTGATGGGAGTCAAGGTGACTGGCTTAGATACGGCTGTCTTCACTCTAGATTTAAATAATGAGAAGAGATGAACTCCCCTTTTCCCCTGTTATAGGAGATGCCAGCTCAAGAATAGAGAAATGCCGTGACCCAGTCAGTAGCTGAAACTGGCTACCAGTTCACATTGGAGAGATGTTTAATGATATCTCAGAAACATCCTTTATTTATCTGGAATTCACTTTGAAGGACTCCATATTCCAATGCTTTCAGGTCAACCTGCCTTTTGAAATGCTAATCAGATGAAATTGGCCTTTACCACCAGCAGATATTTGTATATCAAAGAGATTCCTTACACAATTTCTGTCAGTCTGAATCAAGTTTAGATTACAGTGATGCATTATTTTTAATGCTGGTTCCTAGTAAATTCTTTTCTACATCACTAATGTTCTAAGTATTTTTAGCCTAGTGTTAGTTAGCCATTACCATACACAGTATTACACATGGAAGCAGGTATTATTCATTCTAAAAGCTCATTACCCCTCTATTTTTAAGTACAAGAATCGCAAAGCCAATGTCAGGAATAAAACTGGCTATATTGAGCATTGTGATACTGTTCGGGGCTGACGACGTTTCCCTTCTCCTCCACCAAGGAGACAGGCTTCCTGTGGAGGATGTGCTGAGGTGCACAAAGCCCACATCCCCTGGAGGAATCTATATATTCCTCTGCACCTTTCCTTGCATAAGTCACTTCAAGCAGACTGCAAAACATCTCACTGATAAGCAACTACTGCATAGCAGCACCCGGTCAGCTTCACTGCAGCCCATGGCCAAGGCACTTGAATGACAGTGCAAGAATAGACTGAACTGGCATTTCTTCCAGCACTTGTCCTTCCCTGCTAATGCAGCTAAATAGCTGAGGTGACCTTCTGCTGGGAATCACTGAATGGAAGTAATTTTGTAATTAAACAAAACTATACTCAGGGAAAGTTTGAACAATCTTATCACAGAATGCAAGTTTATTTCTTGATTCATTCCATTACTGAAGAAATAAGCCACCCAACCTAGGGGTAAGGAACACCAGCATGATGGTTCTAGGTGACCAAAGACATATCTTAAGCAGTAAACTCCAGATTTCACAGCAGATGCAGGACTGAATCCTCTGTTGGGAAAGTTCTGTGTAAAAAAGGTTTCACAGAACTATTGATGATAAAAGCCAGTGAAATATGTTCACTCAAATTGTTTATCCAACCCTGCAAATTTAACAGACAAATGAAAGTCCTGATCTAAAGAAAAACAAAAAACAATTTGTAAACAAGATATAGGCCCAAATTCACTAAATATAAATTGATTGCAACAAGTTATTGTGTCTGCTCTGTTTATTGCCATCTGCTATGTTGGGAGCAACTGATACTCATTCAAAGTACCCTGAAGTAACAGGCTTTGTATCACTCAGCTTAGCAGACTTTCACCAAATATTGTTTATTTTAGTCTGCAAACATTTGTCTCTCCCACCACAGGTAATCAGCGAGTTTGAAGCCTCTCCCGACTCATTTTCCTACAGAATCCCCAACCTGAGCCGGAATCGCCAGTACAGTGTGTGGGTGGTAGCAGTGACTGCTGCAGGAAGAGGTAACAGCAGCGAGATTATCACTGTGGAACCTCTAGCTAAAGGTAAGGTGACAGGGCTTTTTAAAGCAATCCAGAATTTTACAATGCTAATTACTGTTATAATCAGCACGTGGCTTCTTTATGCCTCATTGCTTACTGGGAGCGGGATTTGTCAGGAGTAACTTCAGTTCTCTCCAAAAGTTAGGTGGCAACTCTCAGCTAATTGCCCAAGCTTTTTCTGTAGTCAGCAGAGAATGACGTGCTCCTCTAGGGGGTAATTCATCCCACCTACCTTAGAAGGAAATAAATTGGTTTTCAGAGCAATTTTTATCTTCTTTTGTAGGGTATAGAGGGTTTTCAGCTGAACCCTCTCCCCTTCTTTTTTTTTTTCTTGTCATACGAGATAACTTCTTTATTATTCTTTTCCTTACTAACATCTCTTGTGTACTCCACAAGTACCAGCTTCTGTTTCAAATTGTCTGATTAACATATCTAAACTCTGAACAATTGTTCTCAACTTGCATTAGCTTTGAAGTTTGCTGCTTCTATTTTAGATGTGAAGAAGGGATAATGTGTCTCAAGCCTTGCATATTTTTTTCCACCTGTATTAGTTGTTCTATTAAAAGATATTGCTTGGGCCTATTATTTCTGCCTTACCTATACTTTGAGATTTGATGCTTACAACACTACAGCACCTTAGCTTGGAATTAGAGACCAAATATTTTAGACAGCAAAGTCTCATCAGTACTCAATCTCTACATGGGGTCTTCAGGCTGATTTTTTTTTCTCTTCACTCAAATTTGTAACATCACAGCATGAGCCAGTATTATCAATGTATTGCACAGGTCCCTAGAGTTGCCAAATTAGATGCATTTGATTGACTATGCAGTTTTGCAAGCCTGCTAATTCTGGCTAATGAGGTAGTAACGTAAAATAGTGTCTAGTGTTTTATGATGACAGATATTTTCAAACAAAGCTTTGAAGAACTTTAGATAAATGCCACCAACTTGAGAGCACTTTCTGCATGGAAGAGCATATACCATTACCATGGGAAAGCTTGCTGTTCCTACCTGTGTGGTAGATAACCAGTTTGATAATGGTAGATAAACTATCAGAGCTATTGTCATGGATGGCATGGTGTTTGGAGGGCACTATTTCAACAGATGACATAGCTTCCCAGAGCACAGAAGTTGTTAACAAGGTTCTTCAGGCTTGTGTTGGGAACTTTCATGTTTTTCTTCCTCTCTAAAGTTTTTATCATATGAGATGGATGTTTTTCAACCTCACTGTGAGAAGCCTGTAGTAACTACTGTCTTACTACTGTAGACCACAATGGAAGACTTATTAGTAAATCTGGGGAGGGTCTAGCAAGGTAAAGAGGCCTAAGCTGGAACAAGCAGGGAAATGCTTGCTCCCCATACCATTGCTTACATGTTTTTTCCTGTCAACTGAGAAAAGTCAGCTTCACTTTCTGATTCTTTCTGGCATTTTTTGTACAGTCCTTCAGAAGATCCTTTCTCTTAGTAGCTACACAGTGTCAGTGGAGTGACATGAAGAATGTCTGAAAGATCTGAAAAATCCGGAGCTTTTCCACTGTGGGATTTCTTGTAGGATCACTGCATACTACTTTATGAACATCAGTGAAACCAAAGTTGAGATCTTAAAAGGTGGAAGAGGAGTGTAAAGGACATCTGTGAAGAAAGATTGTGGAAAAACGTTTTTTTCAAAGGTTTCAGTGTGCTCCTCCTTTTAGGCCAGCTGTTACCTGTGTGTAATAAATTTCTGGTGATGAAAAGAAAAAAAATGAAACAAAAATAGGCATAAAAATAGATGCTTGAATAAGAGCAAAACCAATTAGATGGCATGTTGCAATACTAAGAGATCAAGGATGCAAGCAAACCCAGGAGTGTGTAGGAACCCCTGCACATAATGCACTAGAAGTTCTCTTTCTCCATGTCTTATGCATTAGAAAAAGAGGGAAGTGTTCAGACAAGATGAATGAAGAACAATGCAGAGTTTGCAGGTACCAAGATTAGTAGCCTCTAGTTAGGAGGAAATGTAGTATTATGATGGCACTTGGTTTGCCAAAATTAGAGAGAGATTGACCCACATGTACTTCTAGCAAGCTGAACAAGCTTACCAGAAACCAGAATTAATTCTGCTCTTCCAAAGCCTCTGTATTTAATATGATCCATGATGACAAATAAGTGAACTTAATAATAGCTTGTGTGAAAAAACAGAAGGAATATTAAGGAAAAAATAATTAATTACTTCAATATAGACAAGTCAATGTGAACAGGACTTTATTTTGCAAGACAGTAGAATGCATCCAGTCAATGTTAGAGATAGTAGTGATTCCCCACTACAAAGTCTGCATTAGATTATGCTCAGGACAAGCCTCTCTTACATGCACTTAGGACTGAAAAAGTGATAATTAATCCATTTGTAGACGTCATAATGGACACTAGGGATACTGATAGATAGCAATATTATAACCTTTGGCTGTAGCCAACTTATTGTGTCATCGACAATATTTCCTGTATGCATGCACCACTGGGCCTTTTAGAGAGCTGAGAGAAAGTGATGATCAGTGACAAGGGCAGTGGATGCACAATGAAGAAAGGCGGGCAGAGCTAACCTTGAACACCTTTCTCAACCCCCAGTACGTCTGAAGCAAATAACACATTGCAGGGTTAGAAGCAGTTATGTTCTGATTGTACTGTAAGTCCCCAGTGCAAGTACATCCTATAGGCTATTATTGTGAAGCTGTTTGCTTCCTTTTTTACCTCCACTTACTTCACGGTAACTGTCCAAGTAATGATACCATCATGACAGCTAATGAGAGTTAACTTTGAATTGAATTATGTTAACTTAATTATAACCCCTTTAATAACCCCTTTGAGAACAATAAGAATGTCTAGATAGGGGTTTGATGTGAAATGGATAGTCCAATTTAACTGAAAACTGAATTCAAGTTAACGTTTCTTTCTGTAGTGTCTCCGTTTCTCAGAACAGATTGTCATTCTCTGTACTTAACTGACAAAAATAAGCAAAAAAAAAAAAACCAAACCCAACAAACAGAAAATAATCACAGCAATGAAAGTTCACTCTTCACGTAAGCAGGCTATGCCCCTACACCTCAAATTACACTTCATTTCTGACTTGAAAGTTGTGGATTTAGCCTATCAAATATATCTAAAAGACAGCAAACCTTGCATTCACCTTGTTCTTCATATTTCCTGACCACAACTGATGGGGAAGGGCATTCGTCAGCAATATGACAATAACAGATCTAGACCCACAGCAATCATCCTCTGGGGAGAACTCTGACTTATAACATTTTATTTCCCTTCTTCTCATAGACCATATGAGCATTAATGTTGAACAGATTTGTTACCTAGTCTATGTGGTTTTGTGTGTTTAATGTTTTTAAGCAACATGTGGGACTCACATGATAGTACACACACGCTATTGGTCTATTTCATTATACTGGAATACACAGGACATTCTTCTGTGAGAAGGTAAATGAAAGAAACTCCTGACCCAGGATATTCACTGATGGCTCTTGTGTTAATTTGTATTAAGATGATCTTCACTGAACTGTCACAGTCCTTGTTCAGTTTCCCTATACAGTTTTGCCTTTAAGATTCTATAGTGTCCTTTAGAAAAAAAAAAAAACAAACAAAACCCACAAACAAACAAAAAAACAATGCCAAACCCAAAGTGTGTTATGGCCTCTCACAAAGAATTTCTACCCTTTTCTTATTCTATGACAGTAAATGTAAGTAAGAGGATTCAGAAATTAAACAGACTAACATTCAGGAATCCTCATTAGCATATGAGAGTACACTGTTTGTTGAAGTCATCTCTTTATCTTCAATTAATGATTGGGTAATTTGCAAAAAAATAGGAACAGACAAAGTCCTAATCTAGTACCATCAAACATCAGGCTCGTGGATAGTCAGTAGGCATGTGAGTAAGCATCAATAGCAAAGGTAAACCCTGCAGCTGGATTGCCCACATGCAGCATAAAGATCCCTTGGCTCAAAAGGGAGGAGTCTCTGAGATTCAAGGTGTTTTAACCTCATGAATGCCTGTTAGCCTTTCAAGCCTACTGCTTCCAGATGAATTTCAGTAGACATTTGTTTTGTTTCTATTTTTCTTTTGTTTGTGTACCTGTTAGCAGTCTCAGAACATTATTAGAAGTTCAGCTATAAAGAAAATTGGAGTTAAGAATTTTCATGCCATTTTGCCATCTCTTTTAAAAGCACTCAGTACATGAAAGAAATAGATAATCCATAGAAAGCTGTGGGTACTATGGCAGAAATAGTGCTTTATGCTTTTGTAATCGGCACTTCTGAGTTGCAGTCTGTCATCTTACCACTGGCTAAAGCTTCTGTGAGGTTTATGTTACTTCCACACACCACAGTAAAGTGGGACACACAGGATATTGAAAACCAGGAGCTACAACATAAATGTGCTTTGAGATCTGATATCCAGCCTACTACTTATGGAAGAATTCATGTTGAAATAGCTATAACATATAAATGGATATCACAGAAAGTTTGCTAACAATGGTGCTGTCATGCTGAAAGCTTCGTCAGGATTCCTGCAATACTTATACTTTGTCCTAAAGTAACTGTTGACAGTTGGGAATAGCCGGATATTTTGAGAAACATTGGAGACATGGGAAAGGTAGGGAGAAAAAGATTAATAGTTCATTTTAAATGAGTTTTCAGGTCTCATGTTACAGGAGAAATTTTGCATGGAATAGTATTGAGTTTCTAACTACCATTACTCAGAATGCACTGCAGCTATTAGGAGCAGTCCAGATGCTTCAGATGTGCTTTGTAGATAGTCACAGCTGACAGCATCTCCTGCTGCTTTTTAAAGATGGCATGAGTACCATTAGGCATCTCCTGCAGCAAAAACCTGGCACTACGGAGGACCAATGAGCCTTCTAACACTAACTTCACTGGAGTCAGCATTTCACACCATATCTCTGGATAGACTGAGCATTTTTCTCTTTAAATTAGCTTGGTTAATTATCCCATGGCTTGTGGCAGTATAGGCCTACGTAAATCTTTCCTAGAAGATATGGCCTTAGGAGTGACACAGTGGAAAACAAGGTTATATCACGAAACTTACTGGCTGAGCAGTGCCTTTGCATCATTCTAGTGTACCACCCTCTCAGGGCAGCACATGCCACAGCACCCTCCTTACAAGGCTAACCATCAGAGCTGCCAGAATGGGGGAGCCAGGACTCCTCAGTGGCTGTTTACCCAGGATGGGACATTTCAATGCTTGTCTGTTAAGAAAGTAATTGTTGTCCTGTTACCTAACCCTGATTTTGTCTGTTATGCTAAAACAGCTACTTCTTGTGGGTTCAGTTAAAATTTTGACCAGAGAAAAATCTCACAAGAAGCTTAGCCTTTAAAACTGCTGGAAGGGAACATAGGCAACACAGTCCAAAGTGATCATATAATCTTTGAAACCTTTTCTTTTAATGAATACTTCATGTCCCACTGCAGCCTACTCAAGTAACTTCCTTTAACTCTTCAAGGCCTGTTCTTTTATGCATGATTTTTTTTTTTCTGCCATGAACTGTTCCACTAATACTTGATGCTGGCTCTCATTTTCATGTTTTTCTAATTGTTGCAAAACAGATTACTAAGTATAAACTCTGCTGTGTGCATGACTGAAGTAGATCAGGATTAAAAATACAGTATTTTTTGTATCTGTATTCTGTATGTGCCTTTGAAATACGTATTTAGAGGCCAATAAGAAGTCTATTTTTATTAAGGGTAATTCCTGAGTAAGAACATATAATGCAGCTCTAACACATAGTGTTCCTGCATATTACAAACTGAAACTACAGGAGTGATGTTTGTGTTGATGTATTTAGTTGATATGAGAGCTGACACAACTTAAACTGGCTTAAGAGTTTGTTTATATTTGTGAACTTCAGACAGACTCTGCAATGTACTAAGGTGTTATCCTGGTTTCAGTTAAATCATAACACATGTACAGACATGAAGGATTATTTTGCTTAATATCATGGTTGTTGTAAAAGTGATGATTCAGTAATACAGCTTTTGTAAGATGTCTGTCTACTGTGGACACTTCCTGCTGGAATTTCGGAGAGACCTAATTGGTCCTAATTTTCATGCTTAATTTCTTCTATGAAATATGTAAAAATCAATAAAGATGATCGATAGTTAGTTTAACTCTTTTACTCCACAATGACTCTTCCAGTCCCCTGCCTCATTTCTCTTTTGGTTACTTCTTTGCCAAATACTAAAACTATAATATTTGTGTTTGAATAAATAACTGATATTATGAGTTAAAAGGAATAAGTTTCCTGAAAGCATAGCTTGAAATAGATTCATTTTCCACATTTAGTTCTAGATATCTGTGGTTTTCTTTCAAGGCCTGTATGAATGAACACCTCATTTCTTTCTTACTCTCTTTTGTTCAGCTCCTGCCAGGATTTTGACATTCAGTGGCACAGTGACAACTCCCTGGATGAAGGACATCGTCCTCCCTTGCAAAGCCGTGGGAGATCCAGCTCCAACAGTCAAATGGATGAAGGATAGGTAACCAGCAACTAAATGTATACACCAAATAAAGCCCATTTGCTTAAAATCCTGAGAGTTACCTGTGGGTAACCTTGGATGACTGTCAGGAAGGAGAACAACTGTGGGAACTGCACACAGTGACAGTAGACAAGGAGTTCTAGTTCAAGAAATTCCATGAACTGAAACTAATTGTGGTGATTAGAATGTATCAAAAGGAAAGAAAAGCTAGAAAGATGGGATAGAAGTAAACATTCAATAAAACCTAGGAGTATTTTCTGGTTTAACTTCAGGCATACCAAATAGTTTTAGTCTGAGAAAGTAAAATGTCTGATGCATTGCATCGTGCTGTGGAGCGCACTGTACGTCTTGCACATCTTGGTTTTCATTATTCTCTTTTATTCTTTAGTTTCACAATTTGACAGAGTCATTTGGAAACACACATGGACAATAATTTTCATCCAAGCACTGAGTAAGCAGTGGTACTGCAGTGCTATGAAACCATCTTATACATTAATCCAAATAGCTGTTATTTTATAAGGATAGACCTTGTAGCCAGGAACTACTTTTACTCTTATTTTGGCATTTTTATGAAATAGCAGATACTTAAGGAAGCAGTGAATTTCCATCTTCGATCAAACTGGGCCAAGGACATGTGTGTTCTTTAAGCAAATGACAGGTGTTTCCCATCAGAAAACATTCCTTTGCTGTCTTTATTAAAGAGGACGTTCCCCCACCCCTTTTTCTTTCTTCCCATTCTTAGTTGCTTAAAAAAAAAAAAATCCAATTCTGAGTAATTTTGATTGTAACTTCTTTAATGTATGCACTTTGTTTCCTGTGAGGTAGTAACGGGACACCCAGTCTAGTGATGATTGATGGGCGACGAAGCATCTTTAGCAATGGCAGCTTTGTCATCCGTACTGTGAAAGCAGAAGACTCCGGGTACTACAGCTGTGTGGCCAGTAACAACTGGGGATCTGATGAAATAATTTTGAATTTGCAGGTACAAGGTAAGACTATTGGATTTATCTCATAATTGTTATTATGGCTATTAACTGCTATGTGCTGATAATGCATTGGTATGTCTGCTTGCAGATGCAGGTAAGATATTAATATTATTGCATGTTAACACTAATTTTATTCTTCCACATTAAGAAATAAAATATTATACTGGTCATTCTAATACAGACAGCAACATTTTATGATACAGCAAATGTTTTGTCTTTGGTGGAATGTCTTAACACTTGCAGTTAAGTCTCTATGTAAGCTCTTGTAGGATTGACAATTGAGTGTTTGCAATCAGTTATCTTCTAGTTCTTTACACAGAAAATAAAGGCTTCTGCCTTCTCTTTACAAATATTACATGTATCATTTAAATATTACAAAATTCATAAAAAGATGAAGTCCTTTATTTTAGCTTTTGAAAAGCTATCAATAGAAATTTGCCTCTCTACCGGGACCTTGGACAAAAACTTCATTATGCAAGGGCAGAATTTTACTGATGGTGAATATGAGAAAACACTTAAAATGAAGCATCAGAACATATTACCATTTACTTTTTATATGCATGTTGAAATGTGTATAATGTATCCATTATGGTGTTGATATGTATAAAATATAGTAATACACAGTAACAGTAATGCGAAGCAGAACACATGTATTCACATACCAAGAATTCACTATGCAGGAGATTTCCTTGCTCACTTATACTAAAGTAGATCCTAGGAGTGCTTCAACTGACTGCAAATTGTTCTACCAGAGGGAAGAAAATAACTGAGTTAGGAATATGGGCCATGCTGTGGTCAGTCACACTTCCATCCCTTGATATACAATCTAAATTTCTAGTACAAACATACAAGAACAAAGAACGAGATTGTTTTAACTGCAGTTGAACTCTCTCTGGCTAAACCCTTCCACTAAGGCTTGAAACAGATGCCATAGTGTATATTAACTTACCTACAATCCAACAAAGCCTAAGGCTGCTCTTCTGCAATGTTTGAAGCATGGCCACAACACAAAGTAGGGAGAAAAAAACACTATCATATGGAAACCTTATATTTCCCAAAGTACTTTTGTAATTGCATATCCTTGCTGTTATTGAACTGTAGTAACTAAAAGCAACTCAATATTATTTCCCTGAGGGACAGAGAGAGGCTGGCATATAATACCTGGGACCACCATCTTTTGTAGGTAGGGTGCAGCTGTGATGAAAGGTTTTACAATATGTGGGTGCAGTGTCTCTATGGAATCAGCGACAGGGAGAGTCAGTTCTTCAGCGCTGTTTAACCCTCTGAGGGCAGTAAAGTTAGCTTCCTTTTGAACTACTCCATAGCTCTAAACCAGCAATCTCCACTTCATACCAGCACTCTTGATGACTTGAACTACAGTGAGGAGCTTTTCCTGGAGTTTCACTCTGCAGGTAGAGCTACCCCTTAAACATAGGCAAAGCAGGCTATGTCCTCTAGCAGCAGACTACTGGACAGAGCAGAACATTTTTGACTTCTGTCCTCCCTTGCTTATGGGATCGTGTCTGTTGAGGAGTACCTATGGCAGGGAAATGGCAGCACCTGCTAGCAGCAATCACTAACACCAGCACCCCCTTCCCACACTTGCAGTGGCAGTGACTGGACCAGATGTGACTGCCCTGTCATCATCTATTGTTAGAGATTTGTCAAGGTGAAAAGAAAGCTGGCTATTTTGCTACTTTCTGCCTTTGAGCACTGAGCTCTGGAAACCCAGACATAGACACTGGTGCAATTTGGGGTTATGTAGGCTGAGCCTAAACTGTTCTTGTTCCCAGTCCCATTTCCAGTCCCAATTCCCCGACCCAGTTCCTGGTCCCAGTTCTCTCTATCCTGGGTGACTTGTTGGGATATAGCAATTTCTCTCCCATTTCATGCTGGGTTTTCCTCCAAAGGAAACTGGACAGTGGGCAGAGGATGAGAGATGGGACCTCTGTCTTATTCCTGTGCTCTTTCAGCTGATCCTGTGTCCCACAGTGTAGACGCAGCCATAATGTTTATGGGGAGCAGCAGAACTGAAGTGTTTCCAGGTTTATTCATCTTTTGCTGATAGAGTTGTGTCTTCTTTATACCAATAGCCTCAATGAATACACGGTGTGATCAGGAAGAGGCATGGGTCTGCCTCCAATCACAGGTGCAAATATGTTACCTAGTTAGCACTCACAGTTATACCAGCAGCAGCTCTGTTATGCACTATTTATTATTATTTATTATTTACTTTTGCCCTAATATCCTGTAAACTCATGCATAAACAGGGCATCATTTGCAAGTGGACATCTATTTCCCTCCACTAAAAATTCAGTTTCTCCCTAAAACAGATATGAAAAATAATGAATAATAATGGCTAAGTAGCTCATATGCTATTTAGGTCTGACAGGACAGATACAAATAATGCAGAGAAAAGCAAGGGTTAAGAACTGAAAGACAAAAATGAGTAGAAAATGAAATATAAAAAATGAAAGCTTGTCTGCTCTTGTCTTAACTAAGGATGTCAGCTAAACAGACACTTTGACAGAGATCATTTGCATTTTTGCAACTCAAAACAGTTATTTGGTAAATGACTGCTAGGAGTTATTAAGATAACGTCTAATCATTTGACTCCATTTTCTATTTTTGACTGTTTCTCGTCTAGTTCCACCAGACCAGCCAAGACTCACTGTATCTAAAACTACATCTTCCTCTATCCCTCTTTCCTGGATACCTGGAGACAATGGTGGCAGTTCTATCCGAGGTAATATAGTTCAGGTTAATTGCAGCTTCTTACTAAATTATCATATGTTGATAGGATTAATGTATAATTATGAATGGCTACAAAAAAAGAGAAACAAAGCAATCTCTATTGCTGTCAGCACTTAATATGTACTATCGTCATGATAACAGCTTTCAGTAAATTGCAGTTTCTCTTTGTGGTAGTTTAATCACAGATTTAATCACTTTCTTCCAGTATAGCCTCACCTGTTATGACAGTTACTCACTCTGATTTTCCAGACGTGTAATCTCTAACCATTCATTTTTGAGGGTCCAGGTTCATCATCTGGGTTTTGTTGCTGATTGAAGGGTATTTAGAAATGTCTATCCCTTTCTTTTCCCTTTGAAGCAATCATAAAAATGGTATTTAAGTTGTTGTAAGGGTAAGCAAAATGTATTGCCTGGTATCTATTATTCAGGGAAGAGCTGTATGTCTCCCTGTGCATGTGATTTTTCTAGTTTTATTAGGTCTTTAAAATGACTTGTCATATTACCTGTAGAATTTGTGTTTTGTGTCTGGATTACTGTTGCTATCTGTGCTTTTCCTCCAGGTTATATTTTGCAGTACTCAGAAGATAACAGTGAGCAGTGGGGTAGTTTTCCCATTAGCCCTAGTGAGAGGTCCTACCGTTTAGAAACACTGAAATGTGGCACTTGGTACAAGTTTACTTTAACTGCTCAGAATGGAGTGGGACCAGGACGCATCAGTGAGATCATTGAGGCCAAAACACTTGGAAAAGGTACGTTGATTTCCATCCCCTTTTCTCTTTGCATTCTGTTGTAAATCTTGGTTTGATGACAAGACAGGCTTGGATATTTTAATATTATTGGCTTTGGAAAGATTTCCAATTGTATCCATGCTGTGACAGAAGAGGATGTCCCTGTGGGACTTGAAGCACATACTGGCTGATTTTCTATCTGTACTTCTTTAACATTTTATTTCTAAGATGAGTTGGTAGATATTTGGGAAGGGGGTGTGTGCAATATTGTAGACTATAGCAGTTCCAACTACTGCTATTGCCATAAGGAAGTTGTTTCTTCTTTTGTGAAAAATTCAGGGATTTATTTGTCTGGATGTTGAAGAAAGATGGAGAGTGTATTTTTGTATAGAGGAAATGGAGCCAACGAATTTTTTGCTCTAAGCTGATATTACAAGGAGCCAACGCAAGTATCACCCTTTGAACAGGATAAATGTCAAAAAAAAAAAAAAAACCCAAAAGAAAAGCTCTGCAAGGCAAAACAGCCAAGATTTGTAGAATTCTTAGCTAACTCAGCAATGGGACCCTTGGTCCTGGTTTCTGATGATAGTTCCACATTTCAAATATGTGTCAGAATTATGAGCAAATTTGGCAGAGAGGCAATTTAGAGTCTTGCCCCTAAGTCAACAGAGGGCATTTGCATAATGCTCTAAAGCACATTTCATCTTGCCTTTCTTCACCAGTTATATGAAATACTCTCATTTGGGAGCAGTTTTATAATAAAAATAGTTGACTTTGATAGGTATGTCTGCCCTTCTCTAAGCTATTTATCACACCTGTGCTGTTGCAGATCCCCCAAGCATCACAGCAAGTGATGACACCTAGTGGCATAGGAGAGACGTGGTATGCAGTAGATGTGAATGGTATGACTTGTTGAGGTTCAGGGGAGACTGCAGGTCAGCTGCCGAGATTATCAGTGGTTAGGGAGAAGGGTCTGCTAACCTTAAAGAAAGATAGGTTTCTTTAGAAAAGTAGAAGTTGAGTATTACTTTCACTGCATGAAATGTAAAGTTTACACATGCTTCAAATAACATCTAAATGGTTCATGGGAAGGCATATCTTCCAACCTTTTGAATTTCCCTGGGACCTGTTATATATGCCTGGCAACTAACTACCTTTGTTGTGTTTACAGACTCAACAAGGTAATGTGTGATTTAGAATGCTGAGATCATTCTCATTCATGTGACAGCTCCAGAAGCATCTCTATCCAAATCTATTAGCAGACCCAATTAAAATAGTTCATAACACATGGCAGGAATCACCAGCTTCATTTAGGTTCCTGTAGAATTTAGAGAAGAGTGTACATTTAGATACATCTCATCTAAGCACAAGAATGACAAAAAGACTCCCAATTGATTCATTATATAGAATAAAATAACATATTATAGATAATTTTCACCACATTAGGTTTAACTTCCAATAGTAAAATGTTATTTCTGCTAAGCAGTGAATAATAATACTTTTAAGTATGCTAAAATAGTATTTAATATAAATAACATTTGTTGAATGACCTGTCTTGTCCGCGTACTGTCATTATTTCAATTCTAAGATGCCCTTTTTACTGTCATTATTCCACTATTATGTAAACTGTCAAAAAAACTTTAAGGTATGGATAAGCAGAAACTAACATTTGATCCCAAAGCAGGACAAGTAAATAAAAAAGTTAGCTCCTTTAAGTTAACATCTTAATTCAGAAATATAAAATTTAAAGTATATATTATTTTCAGTATCATGTGAAATTTCAACACATAAATATTTTTTAAATGTTGTTTTTTACTTGAAACTTCCTCAAAATTGTCATTTTCCACAAATGAAATCCTCTGTACTGTCAAAAAAAAATGTGTTCATTTCCACTTCAAAAGAAGACTAGAGCACCAGTGGAAATATTCAAGTCTGTTTGTCTTATATGGTATTTCTACATGGTGCTGTGAACCTATTCTTTTTTGTGTAGCAGTGAGCAGGGGCATTTACTGATATGAAGTGTCTGCACTAGATTTACAACTTGAGTCATGACAGTCCATGCAAACTGGCTGAAGTCTGCAGAGATGTATGAATATTTTTTTCACATGTGGGTTTGAAAATATAGGTTTGTCAGTCTGGCACATAGTGTGAATAAAACACTTGGAAGGAGGGGGAGAAGTTGAAAATATAGATATTAAGTTTAAGATAAAGTTAAGATTGTCCTAGAAATTATTCTTTTATGTTTTTGAGAGTCGTATTTGTTATACTTAAACATTTCATTTGAAATGTACCATTGATTCTAGAGCCCCAGTTTTCGAAGGAACAAGAGCTCTTTGCTAGTATCAACACCACAAGAGTGAGGCTGAACCTCATAGGGTGGAATGATGGTGGTTGTCCTATCACCTCCTTCACCCTGGAGTACCGGCCATTTGGGACAACAGTATGGACAACTGCCCAGCGGACATCCCTGTCGAAGTCCTACATACTGTATGACCTTCAGGAGGCAACCTGGTATGAACTGCAAATGAGAGTGTGCAACAGTGCTGGCTGTGCAGAGAAACAAGCCAAATTTGCAACACTCAATTATGATGGCAGTAAGTATGCATTTCTATTTGCATGCCTGAGATACTGTTTTTGGTCTATTTTCCTATGTGGTTTTTTTGCTCATCTTTCTTTCCCTTCTCTCCTTCCCCTCCATAAACCCCTTTTGGAATCTGCTAGCCATGCTGACAGAGGGGTAACAGCCTCAAAGGCATAAAATGCCTCCTGATTTCATAACAAGAGTCTGCCAGGCAGAAATGAGGAATTGTTTATTTGTCCTCAGTGAGGAAAAGCTCCAGCATCAATCAACCATGAGACACATAACCACAGGACACCAGGTGTCATTAGATCCAGTGGTCACAGAAGCACTTGGTAGTATTTCATGCATCTCTTCCATGAAATATTTGAATATTGTCTCCCATACAATTGGTTCCTGGAGCCATTCACAAGGGTGATTTGCCTCATTGCTATTCCATGCAGTGTCCTTATGACAGTGGAGCAGCTAACCAGCATGTCTTCCAGGAAAGCCTCCAGACAACATCCTCCAAGGGCAAAGCAACAACAATTTTTTTTTACAGACAGGGGAAAGTGAAACTAATGGCTGTGACAGATGGGTCTGTCATGCCCAGCAGCAGGGCACAGGGGATGAGGGAACTGTTGTATCCTGCCCTTCTGCCAGGGGTTACTTGCCCACCCTGCAAAAGCCAGGAAAAGAGGGCAAGAGCAAATATGCCAATTTGTCAGTCAGTCCAGCTTTTATCCTGGCATGTTTACTGAAAGTGATGGTGGCACATGTGTGCTTCCGCTGGCTCTATAGTGGGAACTGGCTGGCAAAAATACAGTACAGATGGCTCCAGATGGTGATCTCTTGAATTGCTCTAGTGTGAATTGCCAGAGCTTTTCTGGAGACATCCAGTGTATAACGCAGTTTTGTTACCAGGGATATTGTGCAACCACTTGGCGATATCAGTACTGTTAAATTTAAAAACAGGACTAGTGAGCAAGCTCAAACAAGAACCGATAATTGTCCTGTGACAGCACCAGATTGCTAATCATTCATAACTCTGTGCTGGTAAGACATCTGCTTGCCAAAGTTTTCTCCCACACAAACCAGCGCTCTCCAGGACAATATCCATGTAGGGCTCGGGAAAGAGCAAGCAACAGGGACTGTTCCAGTCAGAAGTGTAGGACATGAATCAAGCAGGGTTTAAACCTCAGCATCTTACACATCCTCTAATGTTACCACAGTCTTTGCACTAGGTACTCATCAGTTCTTGCAGACAATTAATGACACATGCTCTCATGGCTCACTCTTTCACGAATAACATATCCCCTTGTGTTTTCCTAGGCCACTGCTTCTGGTCAGCTAGAAAATTTCTCCTTTATGACATTGATGGTTTTGTTTCTCAAGCATACTTTGCCAGGACTATATTGTGCCTTAGAGGGGTAGCATGATATCAAATACTGACCACAAGGTTAAAAAAGGAATATATAGATGGAAAAGCAAATTTCAAGTTTCAAATTTTCTGAATTTGTTACATGTGATGTAGAATTAAAATGATGATGGTGATTTATTATCATCATCCTTATTTAAAATTAAGGTAGTCTATTCCCACATAATAGATTTCATAGAATAACTACTTCAGTGCTTCTAATGCAAAAGTTGTCCCTAAAGAGCCCCATCTTCCCATTCATTTTTCCTTGGTTAGCTGTGCTGGCTTAAGGCATTTCAGAGTTGGAAAATAGTGTCTGATTAGAAATCAACATTTTCTGTCAATACTTCATGCAGAAATTTTTGCTTTCATAGACAGTGACTTTTATTTACAAAAAGCATTCCAGTTGAAACTTCTTGGCCAGCTCCACTTTTGAGTTCTAACCCTACCTCTACCATTGATGCGTCTTATGATGTGAGATTAGTCCCTTCCAGCTTCTAAGGGTCACAACTGCCCTTAGGATAAAACAGATACAAGCATAGTACTTTGAAGATTAGATAAAAATCTAATGTATGAAAGTTCTAGGATACCAAATGCTTGTTCCTAAGCTTAGGAGCTTTAGCAGCCTTAAGATAAAGCCTTTGTAAACTTTGTAGAAATCCTTGAGTTATGTGGATTTCACTCTGAATGTGAAACTGGAGTTTCAGTCATTTTGTTTGGACTGCAGTAGTTGATTGTTATCTGTGACAGAGCTCTGGAGAAATACCATGGCTAAGTATGCTTTACCTTAAATCTCTTCATGGTGAATTAGGTCAGAAGGTTAATGACAGATCTATGCGAGACTTTTTGCTTTCTGTTCATAGATATCTCAGCTAACCACTTTCAGCTTACAGACTTTATGACCTTCCTGCCCCTTGTTTTTCAGAACATTTGCACTCAAGAAGATACTTTTAGTTATGTGCAGCTGTAGCTTGTAGCCCTGCGAAGGAGATTCTTGACTCAGAGATCAGCTACTCAGTAGCCCTGACATTAAATCACATTAGCTTGCTAGCTGCTCTAAGCTATACTACTTGATTCTAGCCCACCAAGGGACTTCCAACCATGAAGAACAGTTAAGACACAGGAAAACACTTGATAGTCCTAAAGTCACAAGGTACAATACGAGATGCTGGAAAGGCTGAAATATAGGAGAAAATGGGGGCTGAGACGTTAAAATCATAACTTCTATGAAACACCAGTAAAGCAGGCTAACAAAGGGGGATGGTAATCAACATGGGAAGAAACATAAAATCAACCAAACCTCCCAATGTGTCTGGGACTTTGTCCTGAGAAAAGCTTTGACTATTCCACTCCTAGCCAACACCTAAAATAACAACAAGTGCTGAAATGTTGTTTACTCAATGGATTGCTGGTTTAGTTTTTCAAAATTTCTAATAAAATCATCAAATACCCAAAAATGGATAATGTGAAAGATATATGAATTTGTGGTATTTTTTTTTTACTGCCTGTATATAGCATTATATGGCTTACACTTTACTTGGAAGAGGTACGGAAAATCATGATCACCTAAATGCTTAAGGTTTAACTGAAATTAATGACACTCTTAATTTGATTTTCATCAAAGTACTAAGGAGAGCAAGACATAATTTTAGGAAATCTTGAACCCAACAATTCTTAGCCAATGACCTGTGGGACATTAATTTGGAGCAAAATTTGGCATTTTCTATTCAGAAGGGTTTAGGAGGATTTAGAGACAGCTATTAGTATTACTGTCAGGAGCTTGAAGTTCTTTCCATTTTTGTCATTCCTTCATCTAATCATTTTCTTTGCCTTTAAAGTAGTGCAAAAACTACACCTCAGTTAAGACAAGATGAAAAATCTGCTGTATGTTTATTCCAAGAAATGTAAAATTAGAAAAATAAGGAAAATTATAGGGAAGAACTGCAATGAAACAGTAGAAAAATATTCAAAGTGCAATTGTAAGAAAATAAATTTTCTGAAGTACCTGATACAGGTTTGAATGGTTGTAGCTTTTCTGTTTATCTTCATCCCTTTAGGGGACTACTTTTCTCATCATGTGCAACTCAAATAGCTCTTCTGAAAAAACATGGCTTAGAATTCTACTTTTGCACTGTGATTATGACACTCACATTGTACTGCATCATATCACTTTTTCTTTTCTGATACTGTATGGTACATAGTAAGATATAAGTATATCACTCAATGCAGCAATTAAAATGTAAAAAAAAGGATGTGCCTGGTTGTTTATCTCACCCTCCTATCTTTTTAGGAATTAAGTAGCTACTTTCATGTTTCAGTAGCTGGTTAAAATTGCATAGGTTACACCAAAAGTCATCACAGTTCACAATACTTGCATGTTTCTATCCCTTTTCAAACAAATTTGAATTTTATACCTTCATTTGTGGTTGCATTCAGCAGTTTAATAGTAATCAGGAAATGAGTGAGAAGTCTGCCATAACTAAACAGCCTTCCGAAGAAAGTGCTGCATTCTTCTCACGTCCTTTAGAAGTAAAGAAAAAAAAATTGAAAAGTTCTAGTATTACATGTCACCAGGAAGCCAGGTATATTCAAAATGCAAATATGTCCCAAAATGAAAAAGTGAGCTGCCTGCCAATGCCAGTAGTTTTTAGATTCATTTCCTTCATTTCGGTCAAAATTTGATTGTTTCTATCCAGTATTACTCTCCTGGTTTACTGATGAGTATAATGTCAGACACTCTGGCTGATTAACATCAGGCTGGCTATCTGAATTTCAGATCAATATCGCTGCTGCACCTCTAAAAGGTGATATAAGAATGTTTCTGTGCAAAGGATTCATCTCATGTACACAGCACAAAATGAACTTTTTCGAATATTGACCTTACATAGAAAAGCCCAGCAGAAAGTATGGGTATGTTGCAGCAGTGTTATTTTCCTATAGTAAAGAGAAATATACATAGGTAGTAATTCTGCAATCTCTTACAGCTTTGTAATGATTTAATATGATTTAAAATTAGTCATAGTCTTTAACTGTATACTGTGAATGGGTTTTCTTTCATCAATGAATGCACTTCTCAATTTCTGATAATCTATGAGTCTCTGCAGTCAGTACCTTGTTACCAGTGTGACTGGTTATGTGTGCAGTGCTAATACACATGCAAACATAGCATCCACCCTGAGCATGATGAATCCTTCTTAATGTTCTGCATGCAGCTGAAGCACATGAAATGCCATATTCCCTGAGAACTCAATCTTTTGTCTTCATTAATAGGCATCTAATATCATGACACTGTTTACAGGTACAATCCCTCCACTCATTAAGTCAGTTGTGCAAAGTGAGGAGGGGCTAGCAACCAACGAAGGGCTAAAGATGCTGGTGACCATTTCCTGTATCTTGGTTGGGGTCTTGCTGCTTTTTGTGATGCTGCTCATCGTGAGGAGAAGGAGGAGAGAGCAGAGACTGAAGAGGCTACGAGGTAAGATGAGAGCTGTGGCACTTATTTCTACATATGTTTACTCCCTGAACATGAACGTGCAAGTGGGACTGCACGTGACCAAACTGTTCAGTTCCCAGGTGGTACCATTTTCCTGTGATAAGTAACCAACATAAGGCAACAAAGCATTTGTGTTTTCTACAGAAATTCCTTCTTCTTCATTTGGTAGTAAGTTTCTAAAAAATGTCTCATGTATCCAATGTTACTATTTTGCATGAGGGAAAGGAAAATAGTTGTCATGTGTTGGTGTTTGATTGTTTTCCTTTTTTTTGTTGTTTGTTTCTCTTGTGAATGGTCTTGATAACCTAAAATGATATTCTTTTCAAAGGATAAAATCAGATGTTGGACAGAGCCTTGGGTGACATAGTTTAGCGTGTAGTGTCCCTGCTCATGGCACAGGGTTTGGAACTAGATGATCTTAAGGTCCTTTCCAACCCTAACTATTCTATGATTCTATGTTTTGAAGATGAGGGGATTTCAGTTTTCCAGCAGATTCAAACCATGATTACTGAGTTATAAAATGAATATAGCCACTTGTTAGTATAGGCTAGAAAACACAACCAGATATTCTCATATTTATTACCATATCTTTTTCCCTATGATGCGTTAGAACTATTACAACACGTTATTGTTCACTGGCCTTACATTGTTGCTGTTTTATATTTTCTCTAATCCTTATTCAAATTCAGGTGTTTGCCATGTGAATGTTATAGATCTGGTAAATACTCCTGGCTGAGCCACAGCCAGGCTTTTGACTCTTGCAGTCATCCACTTTCTGCACTCATCCCTGTGGGTTTTTCACTAGCATACAACAGCAGATCTTACACTGGAGGTTTTCGGGGAAAAGCCTTTCAAATCCCACTCTGAATAAATATTAAAGCAATTTGTCATCTGCAAAATTAAAGCTAATAATTTCCAAGAGCCACCAAATTGTTTAGTTACTTGTCTTTTAACCAAAATGATACACATTAAAACCAGGGCCAACTATGTGTATTTTATCTCACCTTAAAATCTGTTCATCTCTCTTTTGGGCCTCATTTTGTCTTTTGAAACAATAGTTTGGATGTTTTTGCAGAAAAAGATAGAGATATAGGGCTCTTAGGCATGGGCAAATTCATAGATCAAAGTGGACAAGTAGCCTTATGTTTCATTCATAGCTCCGGAAATCAGGACAACTGGATGCTTTAGCTTTACATTGTATAATAACTTTCTCATTCAAAACCTTTTGTCATTTACGTCTGTGCATTTTTTTCATCAAAAAAAAAAAAAGGTTGTTTAAGGGTGAAGGAAGTGTTATCTTCTCAGAATTATTGTGGAATTCCATCTGGTAATGAGCAAGATATTTTGAGCTCCTTGGCTCCAGGAAAAGATGGCTGTGCACATTTAGTTTTTCATGGTTAATTTATAAGTATTCACAGATTTTTAACTTACAGTCTCTTAAGGAAGCCTGATGATTGCTGGCCAGTATGACTTTTGCATAAAGTAAGACTTCTCCAAATTATTTTCTCTCAGAATATAGGAAGTCAGAAAAATATCTGAGCTTCTTTCAAGCATACGCAGTGACAAAGAATTCATCAGTACTTTTGGTAAAAGTCATCATCATTTAACTAACATTTCTGTAAAAGCTGCATCTCACTTCTTATCTAATTCTGTTGAGCTACAGCTTGACATCCCAGCCATCTGGCCCTGTTAGACTTCTGTCTGCGTACAGGGACTGAAGTTCTTTTTTCTATCACATTTTCGGTCTCTGATGATATTCCTTTACACACGGTGGCAATCAGATCATTTCTTAGTGTTTTCATTGATAAATGAAACAGATGAATATTCTTTAATTTTTCTCTGTAATTTTCCCATCTTTTATTAATTTCCAGGATTTTGTCTGGTCCCTTTGTAATCTTTAGGTACCTTTCCTCATCTGTATATGGTAGAAATTAACACAGTATTCAAACAACTGACATATCAGCATCACATAGAGACGTAACAGCCTTTCTTCTTTCCCTTTGCAGTCTCTGCCTGTATCAGCAGGGATCACCTTTTTGGGTACAGCATTATTTTAAGAGTTTGTGTTTAACATCTTATCTGTTGAGAACATCTGTCAGTTCTCTGATTACCGTGCAACAGGGTAACATTCTCCCTTTTACAGCTATGGCTTGTATTCTTGATATATGACCTTATACTAATACAGATACATGGTTAACTTGTGGCCAAGCTACCTGATGATCCAGGTTGTTATGCCTTAGTGACCTGTCATTTTAATTATATTTTGGCTACCTAATACTTGTGCCATTTTTAAACTTTTATCGATATTATGTCACTTACTCCAGACCTCTGATAAAGGTACCAACAGTGTGATGTCTCATGGTGCATGATGAAAATAAATATTCTCTGCTTTCAAAATTGTAGTTTGACTATATTGAAACCCATGTAAAATGGCTATGTTATTTTTTTGCATCATGCTACTATGATATCAATATATTTTGAGGTACCAAATCTTTGCTCTAGAGAAATACAAGTATTTTAATGTTATTTAATTGTATCTCAGTGAGAGTTTTTTCAATGTCATCAATTCTCAATGAATTTTATTCTCATTGTAAAAAAAATCAACTTTGACATGGCTGGTTAACCACAGATTCATATTGATTGGCTTCAATTATTCCATCTCCTTTAATTGATTTCATCAAGCCTCTTTTTTTTCTTTTTTTTTGTCAGTTTGCTTATTACCAAAATCAGATTGATTCACTTCAGTAATTCATTATTTTTTTTTATTAATTCTTTTTGAATATTGATTCCATATTAGCCATTTTCTGCCCTTCTGGAGGTTACTTCATATTCTAAAAGTCTTACTGATAATCAATATTGCTGTTCCAGAAAACTGCTTAGTAAGTTCTCCAAAAAAATCCTGTATGCAGGTTTTTCTGCTCTCCTAACTAAAAATAAAAGAAAAAGAAAATGTTTTGCTCTGATAGTTTTTGTGTTCAACTTATATCTGAATTAGTTCTGAAATTGGAATCCTGTCATTATCACTTGATATGTGTCACCTGGTGGGGTTTCTTTGAGGCATAGGACTCATTTTTATTAAATCATGATTTCAGCATCAACTTTCTTTTAGTCTACATCAGAAATAATAGTTTCCACAGTGGGCCCTTCTGAAAGAATTTGTACAAGTTACAGATGTAATTCTTTCTTTTGTGGCACCAGGAGATGTGTTCTCTTTAAACCTGCTTGGCAAAGAGGAGTGGGAATTGTAAATTTATTTGTAATACATTCTGCATGCAAACATTTATATCTATGCTTATAGACAGTGGGTTTGTGGTTCCAATGTTTGTGAAACAAATGCAGCAGAACAGCAGTTTCTCCATTCTTAATCCTTTTACTCCTTGTTTTAGCATGTAGGGACAGGTAAACCTTTGTCTTCCTCCTGTGTCACCCCAGTATGATTTATTTCTTCAGAAGTACTGTTTCAAAAGAAAGCACAGTTTTCAGCAAAGCCCTGATTTTTGACCAATTTAGTAGTTCTACAGGTCAATTGGCAAAAAGGTCAATTGACTGCTGGAGTTCATGCAGCCATTCAATATGTCAGCATATATTATAAAAAAGAAACCTGATGACCTACCATTCTTTGTCCTCATTATTAACCTAGCTCCACTACTACTGTAATGGTTTTCTCTTTGTTTTTAAGTCCAACTCGCCTTAATCCAAGAAGAAAGTATCAGCACAGTATGATAGTTCAGAAGTGGCAGCATGCAATTTAATACTGTACCACAGTCCCTGATTTCCCAGGTGGCAAGCCAAATGTGCTAAGAATTTTAAAGGCGGCTGCCCCAGCAAATGGAAGTGAGGGCTGTCTCTGGGTTGGTGCCTGTCAGTTTAGCCATGTGTGAAACGCACAATGAGGAACAGTTTGTCTTTTTCACTAAGGCATGGGGTGATGCTTGGCTGGGGCAGGAGATCACACCCTTCGCTATGTCATTTATAGCCTCCCCAAGCCCTGTTTTCCCCACCTGAAAGCTGGGAGATAGGACACTGGCAGGGATCCTGACTCATTTTATGAAGTGCTCTCAATTTGCTGCTCAAAAGTGTAATATAGGAAATACGTATTACAATCTGTAGTCTATAGTCATTGATTTGTGAAACTGGCATTTCTCCCTCTGTAGCTGATGGTTTGGACACTGTTACCTTATTCAGTTGGGTTTAGGGTTTGTTTGACAGCTATATAAGATCTTTTATCTTCTTGGATGTTTGTTTTGGTCCAGTACTACACTGGCCTCTGCACAGCCATCATTAACTACAGTAATGCTGCTGACTATTACAATAATCTGCTTGAATAATTAGTACAATTAAACCCTGCTGATGGAGTTAGTTTTTTCTACAGTACTTCCTGGTTCAGCTCTTGACATGTAACATGATTTTGCATGGTGCCTCATATTATTTTGATTGAAGACACACAATCTTGTTTGCATCTCTTTGACCAAGAATGAACACATGTTAATGTGCCACATACGTTTAACGGTGGGAAGGTAATATTTTTTTCAGATGCAGCATGGAACACAACTCTATGCTGTGCTGCACCTGAGAACGTGTGAGGGAGGTTGTTTGTTGTTTAATCCTGGTAAACAAATCTAAAATACAACCTGAAAAATGTTAGGCCAATTAACCCTCAACTTTTTCCCTTCAGCTCTTCTTGAGTTGTGAATTACTTGCACCAGTATCCATAGCCTTTATTTAAGGAGGAAGCAATAGCGTCACAAAAGCTGCTAGCTGAATTAAAACAATATTTACATGTTAGATCACCCTTCTTATGTGTTCTAGAGGGAGAATGGTTTCATAATCTCTTCATGATCCTCATGCTGCTCGAATAATGAGAAACATCATAAAGGTTGCTGAAAACACCATGACTTGGAATCAAAAATAAATACAAATGTAACCAGAGCGATGCATTAAGATGGTGGTTTGTTTCTGCCTGCATCCTCTAAATTTTAAAGGCAGGATATTTAATAGGATCACAAGCAAGGAAGTTGTTGTAGGTGAAGGATACTCAGAAGGTGATTAAGAAATAAGATAGGTGGGATGGAGAAAATAAAGACAAATTCAGTAAATGTCTTGGCTGGTGCTGGTAGATTTGCAAGCAGCAGATAAAGGAAGAAATTTAAAGTTTCACATAGTAGAAGACTTGCTTGAAGACTTGCTTAAAAACTTAGAACTTGGAATTGTTTTCTTCTTGGGTTTGCTTCACTTGGTTGCACAAAAGGCTGCTTTGTTGCTGTGTGATATACTTAAGGGCTCTGGAGTCAGCATTTTTAAGTGAGTTTTTTAGCAGCAGACTGCAGGAGAACAAAGCATATCTGTCTGCTTTTGCTAAATAATACTATAGAAATTATTATATTGTGTTGGTAAAGTTTTACAGAAAGCTACCTGAATAACACTCGGTGAACCAGACCTCAGCTGCATCTTTGGACCTGATAAGTACCAAAATAATTACATTCCTAAAAGATTTTACACTAATAACAACAGCAATAACAAGAACAGGGTTCATATTTTTCCTTCAGCAGCACCTCATTTAGCAGGGCTGATCCATGTGGGAACATGTCATCTTCTTTTTTGTGTATAGACTGTTGTCTGAAGACCCAGTGGGAGTTTGGAATTATTGCTAGTGGAAAAACATTCATTTATAAGAGTAATCAAAAAGGCTGACTTCTTGGAGACTTCCCTTGTTCAGACCTCCATGCAGTCACGTTTGGTTTGGAAATAGCAGGTTGGCAACTGCTCATCCGGCTTGTGTTTGGCTCCTGCCTAGAGATGGATGTCAACATTTCTTTTGGCCTTTTCTTCCTTCTTCACCTACTCACTTGCTAACCATGGCATAATGGAACAGCGATCCCCATTATTTGCTAAACTCTTCCTTCTTCTAATACATTTCTGCAGTTTTTTCCAGTTAAGCTAATGGTAGTTTGTACTTCTCTAAGCATCTCTGGTGCTGCTGAGGAATTTAACAGGGATATCTGGGGCATAAATGCAGTTTCAGCAGAAGTAGAGACTTTCAGAGATGAGTTAGTTCTTGCCACTGATCTGAGAAACCACAATGGTCTTACACATGGCTGATTCAACTCAATTCCTAATAATCCATCTATAAAACAGATTTTCTTTCCTAATGACATTTCTTCTGTTTTCTTCTAGATGCAAAGAGTTTGGCTGAAATGCTTATGAGGTAAGAATAGATTTATTAAAATTTTAACTAATTCACTGAAAAAGTCTGTCAACTATGGCATTACATTTAAAAATTATTATAGAGACAAATGGAGAAGTTTCTGTTTGAGTTTTTCTGAGCACCTTCTGTTCCTAAATCTTTTTTCAAAACGCACCATTTGACCGTTTGTTAAGAACTAGGACACCCTGATTGTTAGAAATGGGAGAAAAAAACCAATTTGTGAACAGTATCTGTGAGGGAATACAATGGTAAAAACCTGAGAACTCTTGTGTTAGTGGATTAAATTATAGAAGCAATGTAGGTCCGTTTGGATATTTTTCCTATTCAGAAAAACATTTTCGTGTTCAATATGTACCAAAGTAATTGCTTTTCAGAAATCATCTAATTAAAGTTAGTAAATGGTTGAATGCAAGTATCTCTAAACATTTTTTATATTTATGTAATTCACTATTGCTAGGTGTTTATACCAAAAGGTACAGAAAAGCGCGTAAATCCATGTATTAATTTTCAGTTCTGTTCCATCAGCTCAGCATCCAGAAATCAAATTCAGTTGTTCAAATGCAACAGAATAACTATTCTGGCACCACAATTCTTTCAAAGATGGAAATCTCATATCTTCAATGTTTATTGTTTTGTCTGAACTTTAAACTGCTATATATATTTGAAAATGGGATCAACAAAGGATTATTTTCAAGTATAAATGAGTTTCGGTTTTATTTTTAAGCAACTAGTTTGAGATGTCAGATATTTTACCAAATGAACCATACTCTAAACTTCCTCATCCATGATTAACTTCACCTGCTATTGTAAGAATATAGTCACCTAAGACATGGTGACAGATGGTTTTAGTGTCAGCTCAGCTCTACACCATCAGCCTTGCAAATACATCTGGGTAGTCCCACTGATGGTAACAAGACTGGTCATGCAGGTCAGGTCATACACTTCCTATCTGCCTGCAGCAGCAGATTGCAGGTTTAAGCAACGTCAGGGAGATATGGTCTTTATATTTTTCAGTGTAGCAGAAAGCTGCACAGATTAACATACAGCATGTCTGTTCCCTAAAGAAACCCAGAACAGACAGGCTGAAACTTCTGGATGAAGATAGTTAATCTCAGTGACAACCACACATAACACCTCTGAAAAACTGGTAAATGTCTGCCTTAACCCTGGCTAGCTTCACTATTCTTGTCACTGCCTCTGCAAGACCATTTCAGTCTCACTCCCCTGACACTTAGAAAACTTCATCAAACTGGCAACATAGGTGCCCAATTTTGGCCTATTTTTTCTTCTGCCAATGTCAAACTTCAAATTAAACAACTTCTTTTCCCGTCCACCCCCACCCCCATGCACTCAGAGAGAAGCCAGGTGTCTTCCCAGCCTTTAGTTCAGAGCTGTTTTTCTAGGTATCTATCTCATCTGCCACTATTTCTTTTTGCTTTTCCTTTCACCTGCATTGAAATATTATCAAGTCAGCTTCTCCCATCTCATTTATTAACAAATAATTCTGTTTTTATTAAATACTCATATTGTATATTTCTTTTCTAAAAGTATGAACAAAGGCAAATGACTAGTAAAACAAGACTTCAGAGGAATTAGGGGATATAGGCCTACTTTTACAGACATGTCATAATTTGGAGCTCTCAAAGTGATGCTGTTTTGGGGAGCCCAATTTCTACAGGCAAAATGTTCTCTCATTTCTGATAAATCTGTGAAATACCTGCAATGGAAACTGGAGCTACCACAATCACCAGATGTTCTTGAAGATTTAGCATGTTAATAATCAAAGGATAATAAGTCCTCTCCAAAGTAATAATCACATATTATAGATTTCCTGATTTTTTTATATCTTTTAGATTTCACCAAATCTGCTGTGATGCAAATACCAAGAATTACGATATGCTGTGGGTTGTGCCTTGCTGTTTAAATATTGGACAAAGAGTAGAAAAGACATTCTCTGCTTGGTAGGAAGGTGTGAGAGATTGAGAGAGCTTTGTGTATCTTTTCCTTTGAGGAGATTTTTATGAGCATGCGTAAACTGGGTTAAGAATGGAACTTTATTCTTTGCTTTGAAAGTCCCTGGCTTTGGCAGTGTAAGTCAAAAAGAGAAGCAGGATAAGCCCCAGAAGTTAGCAGCTTAATGGGAGCTGCACAACTTGTTGCTGATACCTCATACTCACTCACAAATAAAAATCTCTGCTGTTATACAATCACAGCTTTTTTTTATGTTACTTTTGGGCAAATCCAGCCAACTTCTTTGTAACAGTTCTCTGTGAATCAGTAAAGCAATTGACTGTTTTTCAAATTTTGAACACAAGGCGATTAATTTTTTCTCCACAGATATTCCTCTGTCAGGCTGATTATTACAAGATTTAGTTTTCCATAGGTTTCTACAACAACCAGCTTGGACATTGGGAAACTGTGAGGTGGTTTGACTCTCTGCCAAGTACCTGGTTTATAAAGAACCATATTTCATCCCTTAACACAACTAGCTTGATAGGTTTAACCCTGTCCTGTGCATACAGAAATTTTCAGTCACTCAAGTTAAGTATAATATAGAACTACTGCTACTACTATTAATAATAATACAACAACAACGATAAGGGAAACAACAAAGGGAGAGAATATAAAACTAAAAGGGGAAAGGGAAACAAACAATAAACACAAGTGACGCACAATACAATTGCTCACCACCCACATACCCAGCCCAACCCGAGCAGCAATCTATCCCTCCTGGGTAATTCCCCCCAGTTTATATACTGGGCATGACATGCTGTAGTATGAAATACCCCCACTTTGGCTAGTTAGGGTCAGGTATCCTGTCTCTGCTCCCTTCTGGTTTATTGTGCCCCTCCTCACTGGCAGAGCATGAGAGACTGAAAAGTCCTTGATCAGGGTAAGTGCTACTTAGCAACAACTAAAACATCAGTGTGTTATCAGCATTGTTCTCAAACTAAAGCCAAAACACAGAACTCCACCACTTACTAGGAAGGAGAGAAAAATAACTGTTACAGCTAAAACCAGGACAACTCCTCATCCACCAGGCTGTTATAATACTTTGATACTTGAATTTTCCCAGGTTAGAAAATACTTGGGCACCAGACTTCAAAATTGCATTCCTAAAAATCTTTGCCTCACTGTCAAGTCCTAGTGACACTTAATTCCTGTTAGTACTTTAGAATTTTATAAACTGAAAGTCGAGCTATGGTGCTCTACAAAAAATAATTCAACATTCCTTGATCCAGAAAAGATAGCATGCTAACCAGCAGCAACCCTCTTACTACTGCCAGTTTTCTGTTCTGTTTTTGGACACTCCATGTCACCGTGCTGCTACATACAGAAGAATTAATTATACCAGTAAGTAGGAGGATAGAGATCACAGAAAACAAGGCACAACCCTTGAGTATAGTGGGGATTTTTGTAAATATAGAGGCCTGTGTTCCGGTTCTGACTTGAAGGACTTTCCATGTTATCTTGCATAAAACTATCCCTGGAGCCAAGAATGGGATTCAGAATTCTCTCTTGGCAGGTGAGCAGTATAACTGGAAACTGGGGAACTGTCCTTCTGCACAAACAATGCTTTCTGTGCAGTTGAGTACTTTGCAATAGTATGAATATATAGTATTTGTACCACAGAAAAGCTTCTAGATCTCACTGGGATTCTGGCATCTGCATTCTCTGATGAATTAATCTCTTTGTCTCCTGTTTCCCTGGAGCAAAGGAGGGGTGCAATGAGGAACTTATTAGACTCAGTTATGTATTGCACAAATTCTGTATGTGTCTGATTGCATGTAGCCTGTAACTATTGAATTATTGATTATGAATTGAAATTGGATCTCAGAAATTCAGTTTCCTAGGTAATCACAGGTTTGCTCTATGACTTTGGACAAGCCCAAAGTAGTCCAACTTTTCAAGGGCATGAATTCAAGCATATTTGTCATGAAGATAATATATTAGTCTCTAATTCTTTTGGCATTTCAGCAACTTGAGTGGAAACCAATAAGAGAGTGGCATTGAATCAATACAGACCCTTTGCAGAGTCTCTGAGAACATCAATGTGGAATTTATCTGCATTTTAGGATCCTAAATGTCTTTGAAAATTTATGTGCTTAATAAGACACTGTGACTACTAGTATCCACTGATTATATATGGAGAAAAATGTGGCAGCCCTTGGTTAGCTCTCTTGATATTTTGCTTCCATAATGATTAAATGATGCACCAGTTGTAGGCTATTTGAATGCATATCAGCTATCCAGCTGCACACAATGGCAATGATACCACTTAACCACCCAGGTAAGACAGAGATGTTAAAGTTTGAGATACATAGATAGTCTTAATGCTGGGGACCACAAAAGCACAAAAAGCGAGAGTCAGCCAGAAAGGAGTACCTGTGTGACTTGAAGATCTCACTCTTGGATTTGGAGCAGAATTACTGACCACAGAATTTCCACCTAAAAGGACTCTAGGAGAACCTCTAAACCTGAAAGTTATGTCTTTCTCACATGGAGACACAACAGAAAGTTAAGGTAAATTCTCTAGAGATGTGGGCTCATTGCACATGCATTTATCTCCTATGTAGAGGCTCACACTCTGGGAAGAAGTGAGCTTCTCATCAAGCGGCTTAATAGTCCTCTGCTGATTCCATTAAGAACAATAATCCATTGCCAAAAGAGAACTATCTGTGATCTACAGATATTTTACATTAGAAAATGAACTTCCATTTAGATTTTAAAGTTCTTTGAAGAGTAAGCACTTGGATTACACTACAGGCTGATTTATCTTAATTTTCCTCAGCCTCCCTGCGTAAAGAAGTATTTGCAAATGTTTTCTCTCCTCCAAAGAGTAATTACATCTAAAAAGGCAAAAAGTCCCTGGGATTTTAGTGCAGTCTGAAGGTTTCTTGGTGCAAGCTCTGTACTAGAAATGATTGTAGCACTCAGTTTTACTAACCATTTTCATTTGCTTTCAGTAGACAGCTTATTTGAGAAGTCATTTTCTGGCACACAAACTTCAAAATGAAATTGTTTCAATTTGCATGATGATGGAATAATTGGTTTATGTTCTTTTTTAGAATATTGCATCAATCATCTAGAAAATAATCCATGAATGTAGATAAGATTTGCAATTTTAATCTTGGAACATCAATGGGACTAAAACCTTTATTTTATGCAATTTATTATTAGAATCCCTAGTTATTAATTTGCTTTTTCATTTATCAGTTCCAGTGGTACTTGGATTCTATTGAATGAAAAAGATGGAAAGTTAAAAAGAAAAAATAAACAATTAGAAATTACTCATGACATCATTTTCCTACCAACCTGTCTGAGCAGTTTTGTGTTTCTTTATTCATATTAACGAGGAATAAAAGAAAAGGTCCATCCTGCAAAGCGTTTTTACTAGTTTTCTTATATGACAGCTCTTGAAGCAAATAATACAAAATTTTCAGGAGCTACCTACTGATAAAGAATAGACTAAATCCCTCAGCACTGTGCACTATGCATTCATCTAACTTCTTCTCATGTGCAATAAATTAACACCATGCACTGGTAATACTATTTTTTCTTTGAGCCGGACAGATTTTAAATGAGGAAGTTTGCAAGTATCTTATAATTTAGGCTAAATGTTAATGTGTTTACTTCTCTTTTGTTTTTAGCAAGAACACCAGGACATCAGATACACTTAATAAGCAGCAGCAAACACTGAGGATGCACATAGACATTCCCAGAGCACAACTTCTGATTGAGGAGAGGGACACGATGGAGACCATTGGTAAACTTTTGTTGGGATTGTTTTCAATGGTTAATGTAACAGGCACTTGTAGGTGGACTTCCCTTACCCCACACCTTTTCCCCACTGCACACATGAAACAAAAATAGCTACAGAGTAATTTGCCACATTGAAAAGAGCAAACTGACATTTGAATCATTTTCCATCTTAAGTAATCTCAGTACAGTATTTAAAATAATGCAGGACATTAGGAAAATGAAGCTGTTGGAAAAGGCCGCTTGAAGGAAATGTAAATGAAGACTGGTAGTTTTATGATTTTCATTTTGATTTCCTGTTTGGCTTTGACTAGACAGTTGGATCACTGGCATTACTTATAAGGAAAATGAAATTCTGAAACTAAAATATCGGTATTTAAAGCCTTGCAGCAGCCAACTTCTAAAACTTACATGTTGCATATTGTATCCACCTGTTCATGGTGAATGGTATTTCAACATTTTGATCAGTATTCAGCTCTTGTGTATCCATGCAAAATTCAAATCTAAACTGTTTCACATAACAGAAAACAAGATTTCTTATGTGTCTGGCACATAGCTGAACTGTCATAAAAAAATAGAATTGTTTGGTGGTAGGTTTTTTTTCCAGATAGTTTAACACATGTCTGAAATCTCAACAGAATAAAAATATAGCCTGATCTCATGATTGTGTGGGTACATGCTGTGGCAAGACCCTTCAGAATGACTGTTCTTGTTAGACCGATAACTTTTTTTGGATCAAAGTCTGTGTAGAAGCAGTCTGTGATGGCTGAGAATGTAACAGCATCCCAGGGATGGTGTGGCTGGAGAGGAAACTCGGAAAGCAGGGATCAGCATCCCTCATCTCCCACCCATGCCCACACTGGGAAGAGACAAGCTGCTTTAGCCCTGGCACGCTTGCTGTCAGTCTGGTATGGGGGTGGCCTCGGGACATTTCAGAGTTTGTTCTGCAGATTTGAAAAGGAGACCTGTGCTTCACCTGAAGTACAGATATTTTTTTAATGCTGATCTGACCTTCCCAAAGTTTGCCTCTGTGATGCAGACTTTTGCACCAGGCTTCATCCTAAAGACAGTTTTTACTTTCGAGTTAGCTGCTGAAAAATAGGAGGTTATAGTGGAAATACCATTAGTGCCTTAACTATGTCAAGTGATCCGTGCCTTGATAATAGCAACCTCTCTACACAGCAATCAGACTAAGGAGGCACTTTGGCGGTCTTTGACACAGTTTGCTGCCAAGAGGCTTTGTTCCCAACCTGAATAAAAGCTTATATTTTTTCCAGAGACAGAGTAATTTGATTTCATAATGCTCATTCTGTTTATGGCCTTCTTTGGCTAAAAAATGCTAGTTATGCTATTGTGCAGAACTGTTTGCCTTAATGGTGTCTTGTCAAGTTAAAATAAACCAAAACCCAGAAATGCTTAGACGAGGAGGATCAACCTCTGCTGGCTAGTAAATGCACAGAAGCTCCAATGCTACCCTTAGAAATACATTGCAAATATATATATATATAGCATAGCATAGCATAGCATAACATTAACTTCTTGTGGCTTTTATTACTGTTAGGAATGGATAAAAAGACTGTAAGGAATGAAAAAGAAAGTCTGATAGTATCCAAATAGGTGTTCTGCAAACACAAAGTGGAAGATTTATTGCTGTTAAACCGTCCATGATTAAGTGCACCAGTTTCCTCTTTGGTGTGAAAGAAATACAATAGAGAGATCACAACTGAAAAAAAAAAATAGTAGTGCTGTATAGCACTGGCTTTCTGCAGGGACCAAGGTCTGAGTAGAAATTTGGTGAATATATCTTACTCCATGGGGAAGCAATAGGCAGCAGAACCATGCAGCAGTCAAGGTCTTCACTACAGTACTCACATAGTTGAAAATAAAGTTCCCTGAGAACTGTCTTGGGTCATGGCCATCCCTTCTGCAATATTCTGTCTCTGGAGAAAAAGCTGGCTGGTGGACGGATAGTTAGCAACCTAACAACCTCTTTTGGGGAAGACATGGTCAATTTCACTGAGAACATGACTAATCGTTTTAATAAGAAGAAATACATAAGTATGCTGTTGAAAGGTTTAGCTGAGGTCTCTGAAAATTAAAAGGAAGAGGGCAGTGTTCAGAAGATGAGAAAGAAAGAATTAGGACCAAAAATAATTACACACAAATTAGCCTTTTGGAAGGGTGCTTAATAGTCTCAGTTGCACATCTCTAAGGTGAAATTGCTATAGATATGGAAATTACACTCATTCTTTAGTTTTATATGAACTTTGAGTTTAAACGCAGAGCCTCCCAAGCCGTGGTACACACTTCGAAGCTATCTTGAGTCCTACAGAGAAAAAAGAGCTGTCAGTGGTGGCGCCCAGATGAAAATAAGTCTGGAGACTTGCTGGAAAGCTGTTATGAAGGCAACCCCCAAATTCATTGCTCATTACCTAATGGGATTTTTTTATTTACAGATGACAGATCAACAGTTCTGCTCACTGATGCTGACTTTGGAGAGACATCTAAACAGAAGTCACTGACTGTCACCCACACAGTACATTACCAGTCTGTGTCACAAGCTACAGGACCACTAGTGGATGTTTCTGATGCCCGACCAGGAACAAGTAAGCATATAAGAGAATATGTTATCTGAAGAGGAGAAAGCTATAAGAAAATTAATACTGTGCTCCTGCATTTGCATCCTCATGGGGTTTTTTCTTCATCTGAAAGTTGAAAGAAATATGTTTAGGTCAGCAGAGAACATTTCTTATACAATTGCATTTAGTAATTCAATATGGTTAAAATTGAATATGCATCGGAAATGTAGGTGTAATTTGAAATAATTCATACCTGGCTTTCATTAAACCAAATGTGTGCTAGATTTTCATTTCTAGAATTTATGTCATAGGTTAACTTAATGGCTTTTAATGTCTAATATATTTTTTTCTCAGTGATCAATCTTTATTGTATTCAAAATACATCTTCCCTCCTTCCCTCTCCATCAGTCAAGAAATACATTTCTCATTATTGCTTTTCTGAAAAGTTGTATTTCCAGTTTTAGTTGTTACGGTAAATTACTTTTCTCAGATATATTAATGCTGAGTTATTCTTATAGTGATTAAAATGCTATCGTAAATTAATAAACTGTCTTCCTATTTTTCCTATAAATGTGTTCCATATCTATATACTACTACCAAAGTGTAGTTCACTAGCAGTTCGCAATTTCTAAAATCTCTTGGATTTTTTCTATTCACTGACTATTTCAGAATTTGTTTACTTGGTGAGTTCAGTGAACATAAATGCTGAAAGCTCAGTCGTTAGAATGCAGATTATTTGAAAAATCTTAATTTCACCTCCATTTCCACCCCAGTTGTTATGACAGCTGTTCTAGTCCTGTCCTTGCTGCTTTTCTAACTGTCAGTTTCAATGTATGGCTAGTTATTTCTTGAGGACTAGATTAGTACCATCTTTTTTCATCTATGGAGAATCATGTCATTTGAATTAGAAGATAAAACATTTGTTTTCTTTCTGGTACCATTCTTGTCTCACTCCTTTAGTTCACATATATGCTGGCTTAACTGCTCTGCAAGAGCAAAAATATCATCAGATAACTTTTATTAGGTTGGCAGATCAAGACACTCTGAGTAAATGATGGACTATCCATTGTTTTCCAGCCCTGCCTTTTCTAATAAGGAAAGAAACACCACCCCTAAATTGCATGCCTGTATCATACCACAGCATTTTATAGCACCAGAACATTTTATACCTAATGTCTTTCCTACATGCAGTTATGTGCTTCATTGAAGTTAGGGAGAGACTTCAAATTAAACTTGGATTTAACTCATGTCCAAGAGTACGATCTGTGTCCAGCTCGACTTTGGAAATAGAAATCCACCATCACTTTTATTATGCAGTGAAGATCTGATTGCAGCACTGCACAGAGTTGGTTCAAAGACTTTTAGGTAGTCTTGTCTGGGTTTAAGACACTAATATAGCTTTGGTAGAGACTGGGCTATGAGATTTTGTCTAGACCCCCAGCTTTCCTTGTAGAAAGGGGAGCAGTGACCAGCTGGATGCCTCAGAGGTTATGGATCCTCCATTCTGAGCACACTCACTGATGAGCAAATATTCCCTTACAAAACTTTTTACATTGTTCTCTAGTTCATTTGTATTTATTTATAAAAGAGGTAGGCTCCCTGAACCTGTGTCTTGCTCACCTCAGCTCTCTACAGTTGTGTTTCAGCATATGACAGCAGGGTTGGCATAACAACCAGGGCACCAGATGTACGCTGTTTTCCATCACACAGGCAGCTCTGAAGTTTGCTGCATCTGTGCTACAGAGTCTTTTATGCAGCCACAGCACAGCTGGTGCAGAGCCACTGCTCAGCATATGCTCAGCAGGACGAGCACTGACCTCCTGTGTGCTCTCCCACCTCCTTCAAATTGCTGACAAAAACCCACTGAGTCATGAGATCAGAGGACATTTGAGGTTGGAAGGGACCTCTGGGCACTGGCCCTCTGCTTAAAGCGTGGTCAGCTAGAGCCAGCTGCCTAGGGCCAGACCCAGGTGACTTTTTAGTATCTCCAAAGATGGAGACTCCACCACCTCCAGCCAACCTGTGCCAGTGCTCAGCCATCCCCACAGTAAAGCGTTTCCTGATGTTCAGAGGGAAGCTCCCGTGTTCCACTTTGTGGCTGTTGTATCTGATCTTGTTACTGGACATCACTGAAAAGAGCCTGGCTCTGTCTTCTTTGCACTTCCCCTTCAGGTATTTATATACCTGGATGAAATCCCCCCAATCCTTCTCTTCTGCAGACCAAGCAGGCAGTCTCATTACTGTGTCAAGAGTTTTCCCACCAGCACTCTCCTTCTGTCCTTCATGTCTTCCCTCGAAACAGGCATGAGTGTCAATTTTGGCTACATGACAGCCATGTGCCAACTTTCCACAGCTGTTACAAGTGGTGGTTTACACTGACAGGCTGGTCATGTCATGCCAAGTGTGGTTTTGGATGTTACCCATGTGAGGCAGCTATGTATTGCACTACCAAGAGGATCAATTATCAATGGCACCGGCTTCATATTTTTCCACTGCTGTAGGGGGAATATGTGAAATGGGAGAAGGATCAGATCATAGCTGGTATTTATAAATAAATACCTTGATTCTTTGAAGTAGCAGAATAAAAATACTTACTGGGAATGCTTAGGCAGAAACAGTGAGGAGTGTCATTATCTGGGTATTGTTTTTTTCTTTAAATTGCTTCTGCTAAAGTCTCCTACCTCAAAGACTGACAACTTCACCATTTGAATGTCAAAGAACATTTGAATAGATTTGAATTTTTCATTTCTAATATACTTTCTTTACCATTGTTAATAATATCCTTTTAGAAGCTTTGCAGATAAATCCTTCGGTGCTGATTTAGTCACTTTCTGTTTGCCACATAATGATTTTTCTATTGCACTTGCTTTGTTAGGGAGCGCAAAACTCACTTTTGCAGAAGAGCTATTTATTAACAAAAATGAGGTCAATTTTGGCAGACAGTTTGCTTTTACTCTCTTGGTCACCATATTATCTCCAGGAAAATAAAAAATAAAACATAAACCATTGATGACCTCAAACAAGTAGCAGATAGGTTTTAAAGTTTAAGAAATTTTACTTATTTATTTATTTATTT